CTCTTTCGGCACAACCCCTCTTTCGGCACAACCCCTCTTTCGGCACAACCCCTCTTTCGGCACAACCCCTCTTTCGGCACAACCCCTCTTTCGGCTAGCAAAATAAAAAAAAGCACCACCAAAACTCATCAACTTCACTTACACCGAAATTGACCAAAGTAAATAGCTGTGAAGAATACAATGCCTGTACTGATTATAGAAATGGTTGGAGTCAATGGTCGTACCTCGCTAAGGCTATGCGGGGTACGCGATGTATGCATACACTGCCATGGAAATAGTGTTAGTTTGATCATCAACTTTCTCACCGCTCTTTTGCACATTTTTTGACTTTTGTCAACGACAACGACAAGAAGATGCCCAGGTCGAGACTTCGATGGAAATATACAGAGGAAGATATGGCTGAGGCTATATTGGATGTTACTGACAATGGCTTTTCGCCCCCTCAAGCCGCTCAGAGACAGGGTGTGCCCCGGAGCACTCTAGTTGACAGACTTAACGGTCGTGGGTCTGTGAAAGAGCAGGTCCACCCTCATCGACGCTTATCCAAGAACCAAGAGGATCGATTGGCTTTCTGGATACTCCGCCAAGAGTCTTTGGGCTATGCTCCGTCCCACAGTCAGATCCGCGCTTGTGTCATCGGCTTGTTGAGACAGCAGGGCGATCACCCCAACTTGGGACGCAACTGGGTGATCAAGTTTATCAATCGTCGTGCGGACCTAAAGGCCAAGATGGGAAGACGTCAGGAAGCTAAAAGATTGAACTCTTTCACGCCCAAAGCGGTCCATTGGTACTTTGATATCCGGGAGGGCTACTATGGCTGGATCAAGCCTGAAAACACCGTTAACGTTGACGAAGGGGGTATCATGACTGGTTTCGGCAAGCATATACCTCTTTTACCTCACATCTTTCGAGATTTGACCCACTGATCTATTTTCTGTAGGCCTAGATAGCCTGGTTGTAGGAAGTGCGGACCCAAAGCGGAAGGCATTTCTCAAGGGACCACAGACTCGAAACTGGACCTCATTTATCGAAGCCGTCACCGCTGACGGTCGCACTTTGGTCCCCGGCATAATCTTCAAGGGAAAGGAACTCCAAAAACAATGGTTTGTTGACGAGTTCAAGCAGATAGCAGACTGGTATTACATAACATCGCCCAATGGGTGGACTGATGACCACATAGGCATTGGATGGCTCGAACGAGTCTATCTACCACAGACCATACCTGCTGACGAGTCTGACGCGAGACTGATCATTTTAGATGGTCATGGAAGCCATGCCACAGTATGTCTCTCATTTCCCCATCTTCAACATCAGCGCTGAGTGGTAGAAGGATGAATGGATGGCCACATGCTTTTTGAACAACGTTTACTGTTGATATCTACCAGCACACTGCTCTCATGGCCTCCAACCTCTGGATAATGGGATTTTTAATGCATCCAAGGCTGCATATCGACAGGAGTTGGAGAAATTCGCCTCGTTCACCGATTCCTCTCCGATGGATAAGGTCAATTTCATCAGGGCCTACGCCAAAGCTAGCCGAGTTGGCATGACGCGAAAGAACATACTCTCTGGCTGGAGGGTTACCGGAAACTGGCCTATCTCGCGTGAGAAAGCGTTACGGCACCCTGAAATTCAACAGGACAGGTCAAATTGCAGCCTCAGAGTGACTCCCGAACCAAGGCCATTTTTCGACTCGGACAACACACCCCAGACGAGCCGTCAAATTCGCGATCTTGGACTCAACAAGACACCAAAGACACGGAGACGATACAACATCATAGCTAAGGGGTTTGAAGCTCAGCAGCAGACAGTTGCGGCGCATACGCAGAAGATTGCCAGCCTAGAGGAGGAACTCGCCCGCTTGAAGAGAGGCAAGAAAAGGAAGGCGGTTCCGAATCCTAACAAGCGGTTTATGACCCTTAGTGAGGCACTAGCCAGCGGAGAGGTTATAGCAGAAAAGAAGACTGAAAATATGCCTATTGGAGTAGAATGTGTCGATTCAAACGAGGAGGAGTCAGAATCGGAGGCCGGCTCTGTCATTGAAGTCAGAGGGGAAACCGTACCCCATCAATCCACCACGCGTTCAAGGCGGCTCGTTAGAAAATGTCGGAACCGATAGTGAAACATATTTATTGTTTAGAAAACAAAAATTTTCATGCAATTCTACCGATTTGCTCAAGTTCTGTATAAGCAAAGTTGGCAATTTTTGGTGGTAGCTTTTTTGGTTTGCTTGCCGAAAGAGGGGTCATGCCGAAAGAGGGGTTGCGGATGGTACCTTGTCTACCGACGGACCCTTGGAAATCAGTGTCCAAGCCCTCAGCTTGATGAGGCAGGTCCTGTCTTGTCTGGTACCCAATCTTGATCCAACTGACTCTCCCTAGATCCCTAGACACCCGGGGGACGTGTCTGACTTCGACGAGTATCGACAACACCTGCCAGAACAGTGGTGTCCGATGGTGACCATCATCGGCTTCGTGCCACCTCGTAGCGACAAGACTCCTGACCTTTCAGAGAACCGCTGTTTCGCTGTCGAAACATCAGTCTACGACACCTCAAAGGCAGTTCCGGTTGCGTTCTCTGTCGCTTGTTTCTTAGAAAACACCAGGCGTTGGCAAAGAGTCAAGATACCGCCGTCGGGAGCCTTTCTCAGCATCACTGCCAAAGTCGCTGGTCGCACCATTGACACTAATCAGCTGGGCCTCCGTGTCCTCGACTTGGCCTACCTGCAGAGACCTGCTGCTGTCCCCATGGCCACGCCGACGCCATCCTCTACACCGACTTCGAAGCGGTCCGAACGCTGGGTAGGTCGGGCTCCTCCGTCCACTCCTTCTAAAAGGCAACGAGGCTCTGAGGATGCCAGCGCTGTAGGGTCTTCCTACAAGAAACAGCTTCTGCAGCCCACAGAAGGCCGTTCTCATGTATCGATTTCAGAAGATAGCCCAGATTCTCCCGGCTAATTCCCCCTTTCATTCCTCCTCTCCGTCGACCATGGCCAACACTGGCGAGTCAAGTATCATTTTACATCCTTTCCCAGGCTCAGACCACGAGACTAGGCCGCATCGCAATCGCCATCCCCCAAAGAAGTATCCTCATAAAGAGTAAAAAGTTGCGTTTGTGCTCAAGTCCTCAAGTCCTCGTGCATTTCCTACGACTCAAGCGGTAACCCAACTATGTATTTTTACCCTTTCCCTGCCATTCTGGCGTCTTATTTTACATATGCTCTCTTTCTTGCGATTTTTCCAATTCATTCTTTTGTGATCTTTCCTTCAGCATTCCGCCGCCCTGCACCGCCCCAGCCTCAAGCCTCTCTTCTTGGATGATTTGCTGCGTCTGATTTCGCATTTGACCCTCCCATACACGCCATTAGTAACAACCTCCATATGAGGATCTCTAATTCTGTGAAGTTGGGACTTAAGTGTTTGCAGAACGGCTGTGATAGGCAATCCACAATTGACGCAAAAGGATTGGACGCTGCGCGACAACTGGCCTCGTGCTCCTACATGAAAGGCAATATGGCACGAAGATAAAGACCGGCGAAGGAAGATTCTTGACAGCCTTCGGACACGGCGGTGACCAGGCTCTCTGGGCTGGATTGTTGAAACTCAGCCCCTCAACTGCCTTGTCGAAAAGGAACTGGAGCCAAACTGGGCACTTCGCCACGTTTGCAATAAGTGATAACCTGTAGATTCGGAGATTCGGGCTGTCGTCAAATGAACTCAATATAAATTTTCTGATCGTGAGCTTTTCAGGGATTCATCTTTCTAAGAATTCTGCTTTGTGTAGGATCGTTTTAGAGTTTGTGGGGCATGTTTCACAAGACCAGGTGTAACCATTAGCATCGTGTTTCAACCAAGCCTGTCAAGTAGAGGCAAGCGAGGCTTGAACGGAGATGGTGCGGGCAAAGGAGTGGGGCATTCTTAGGTGTAATGGGTGTTAACCTCAATAAAGCAAAAATCTAGTTTCTTGTTGAGGTTGCATTACACATAGCTTGCAGTTATCTGCAGAAAATGTTATCCCCTGCCCAAATTCTATCTTGAATTTGGTTCCTCAAAGCTCTTTCTGGGCAACCCGCTTGCGGGTTGCGTCTCCTGTATCCTTAACGCGTGTCAAGGTAACCTTTGACACGCGATCACGTGGATTCGTGACACGCACAGATAGATAGATAGATAGATAGATAGAGTTTATTACGCCCGGAAGAACGAATCTTATAGGGCCAGTAGCTACGCTAAACTGTTTGCGCTTCTCCGCCGTCGTCCACACCACCCGGTGAAGCCCCACTTTTCTTGCCCATTCCTTTTCCAGCCTTGCTTCTTGACTCTGCTYGACAGGCYTGCTTGAAGGCCAACTAATGATATCTCCAAGTGTTCAGCATCCTATGTTCAGCAGCTGAAGCATGGTCTGTCAACTCGAGGCTGTCTTGGCATTAGTAGGTATCTGTAAAATCAATCTTTAGTATGTTCTGTTCGCCCCTTCAGTCCAATCTTCTCGTCGCCATTGCAAATCBGATTGCTGCTCGCACTGCCTCTAGGTTAGGTGTCCATTTAGGCCCATCCGACGCCGACTTTCCACCTAGAAAGAAGGAAAGGTTTCCCATCATGCTTTGTCCAGCCTGCCGCATGGCTTGGCGCTCCG